TCTACTGTTTTCCTCCCAGGTGCTTTCTCATTCTATCCTCAAGGTTACGATGCTGACAGGGCTTTCCTCGTGTGTGAGCATAGATGGCTTAATCAGGAATACACACCCATTGTCGCCTCCCTCCTCTCTCATCCTGTCCTGAGTCCCAGTGGCAGAGTTCCGCATTGAGCCTAGGTATAAAGGCCCATTATTACACCCAGGTGTCAAAGATGTCACTAAAAATAGTGTAATTATCGCCCTTTCCAGAAGCTGCGTGCGCGTAACCATGAGACTTTTGCTCTTTCTAGTTGAGTCCAGTGCAGAACACGCCAGATCTGAGTCCAGTCTCATTCAGCTGTGTATGTAGCCCATTTCTGGAAGGTTCAGAGTAATACATGCCATTCCAGTGATCCCGGTTTCCCATTTCCTTTCTTTCCCCACCATCGCTCATGCTTCGTCTGTCGGTTTGTGATCTTTATATTTTCCAAATGTCAGCTGCGCACCCCAGATGTTCTTCTTTTAAGAAGTTCTCTCCCTCCTTCTATCTATCCCTTGCTCTGCACTTTATAAAGGGCCTTGCGGTAGTGGTTTTACTATGCCAGTTAGTTTTCACAGGTCAGGACTGACTCTTCATTCACAGCAGCTTCAGATATGATCCGTGAAGCTGCTACTATTTGTGCAAATGTTTCACACGCAGGCTTTAGCTAGGTCTTAATTTTAAGATCTGTAGCAGCAAGCTGCAGTGGAAGTTGTCTCTCTAATTTTGGGAACAGAATCTGTTATAACACCGTTCACTGGTAATATATTACTTTTTTTTAAAAAGACACGTTTCCTTTTCCGAACATTTATAGTGTCCAGCTAAAACCAGTACAGCAAGTTTCAACACCTTCAGCACCACTAATCTCTGGCTAAGAGATTGTAATAAACAGTTGGGGAGAGCACATTAAATTTTAAAGGCAAGCAAAGCTAAAGGCCAGGAGAGTCACATAAAATCCTTCTTTTGTTAAAGAGAAAGCAGAAAAGAGGTAAAAAGGATTATGGCATCATGAAGCAGAGTTAAGGATAAGTGATGCTTGGGTCTGTGTGCGTGAAAGACTGAAATTTGGTATTGCTATTTTAAACCACAGGGCTGTACATCACACTGGACACTGATACCCCTTTTCCACTGGTACACCTAAGCTGTGGTGCACCAAGCTGTCATCGGACCCGAGCTCCGCGAGTCGGCCCCGTGTAGCTCAGGTGTTGGGTCACTGCTGCACCCGCGCCGTGATGCGTGATGTTGCAGGCAGCGTATCTGCAGCTTTGCAGGAGAGAGAACTATTTTTTTCATGGCTCTGCTTAGCATTTCTACCTGTACTCATTATTTCTAATTCCAAACTATATCGAGCCGGTGTGTTTTCCTTTTGGATCGAAGATCTCAACTCTTCTGGGCTACTGCCGTGTGCCAGGATTGTGATAAATGCGGTCTGTATGTATTTTCTTCTGCCTCGGCTCCTCTTTCTTGTGCCATGACTAACGCCGTGTGGTGGTGAGAGTAACCCAGCCTGCCGGCCTGAACACTGCAAACGGGTACCAGACAGTTTCCAAGGCTGAACGATTGAGGATCGGTTCCCTCTCAGCCTCACCGGCTCAGACGGGGGAAAGTCACACGGAACGGGATGGTACAGGGTTTCCTCGGCTTGGGTGTGCATGTGGAAAAATGTTGGATCCCTGTTAGACTAAAGAGGGATGGAAAGAAGGACTGGGTTGAATTAGTGCATATAAGTGTGGAAGCTGAAAATAAGTGAGCTGAAAGTCGTGTGATTTGAAGGAGGGAGGCGGGAGAGGATGCCCAGTGGTGCACTGTCGGTGTTTGCTTTGGTGCTTCTCATGAGCTCTAGGGTCACTGTGTGCTGGAAGGCATATATCTGGATGTACTGTCTGCATTGACACTCATTCTCTCTCCATCAATAATGCAGCAGAGTCGAGCTTTTGAAAGTATTAGACCAGCTGGTTGTGCGTTAGCGAGCAGCTCTGTGTGACTCAAGCTGGAATCCTGTTACTGTCTCTCTCCCTTGTTCAGAGCCCTGAGGCTGAGCCTATAACTGCACTGCAGGACTAGCAGCTATACTAAACCTCACAGCAGGTTGAGCAAGTCAAGAATACAAGAGGCACACTCTTGGGTAAACATCAACATAAGGTCCTAGACAAACCATTGCAGTTTAATCTATTCCAGTTTTAATGAGCTGTGGGCTGTTGCACGTAAGCGCTAGGTGTGGAATACGTTAAGCTAATTTCTTTTAGTAGTGGCGGGAGAACAGTTAATATTGGGCTTCTTCAATTCAATTGAGCCCGCAGCTCAGATCTGAAGTGGATCAGCCTGCTGTGCAATAGAAATTTGATCTCTTTCTCTGTTAACTTGAATAAATAGATATAGACACATATAATGAGTAAATAACCAAATGTGTCCAATTTGTGGCTTCATCCTGGCAGCTTGTATAAGAGGATACAGCTTAGAATGGATATAGACCAAACAAGCTGGTTTCTGAGATGAAGTGATGAGAGAGAGGATGCACTAGGCTAAAATACCAGCAGGCCAGCAGGGGTCTTGAGAGTGTTTTCAGTGTAATAGAATAAAACCAGTTTACTCTTGGCTGTGCCAGATACATTGGCACTTTGTCATAATTAGACTAATTGTCCTGATTGAGGAACAGAGGCTGTGTTGACTCTGTCCTCATGTCCACTGACCTCCACGACCCGACACGCTCACCATGTTTAACGAGGGCGACTGTGATTAACGAGGGTGAGGGTGTTTAATGAGGTGCTGGACGGAATCCCTGTGTGCTGGCTCTTCTGGGCTGAGGCCAGAGATTCTCAATCAGTTCCTGTCTCTGAATGCCAGAACGGCATCCTGCCCTCTGTGCTGCAGTTCACCTTGAATACACCTCACCAGAGTTAGTGGAAAATATCTCCTTTTTTTAATGTGATAAATCTACATTCTGTACCAGTCCTGGAGCCTTGCTGGCAGGGCTTCGATTTAAACACTATCTGATCACAGTTAAGTAATTTTATATCGACAGTGTTGTTGTAAAGATAGCACGGGTTTTACAATATACAGCTGTCTGAATAGGCTATGAAATGCAATGGAGTTTGGTGCACCTACGGATGGGACTGTGGCGAGCAGATTTTAAGGGATAAACCATGAATACAATGTTGATTTGAAGAATTTCTTTCCTCTCATAGCAAGGGGAAGAAGACTAACGTCTTCCCATAGAGCGCTGAATACTGACTACAGACTCCTGCAGCTGCTCATCATTTTTAATTTAGCCCCCTCCCCCCTCAATCTGTATCATTCTAACGCTCTCCTAGAAAAAAGTCCCAATCTACTGGTTTCAAACAGCTGCATTTCACATAGTAAGTGAGCATGAAACTATCTTTAATGTGGATGGATTTGCTTTGTGCTGGAGAGCAGTTTATCCCAGGTCATGCTGTGTTGTAGCATCGGTGTGGACTTGTGCATGGGGCTCGTAGCCTGTTACTGGTATGATGTGAGGCTACTGCTGTACCTTTGATCAAGGTACTTCACCCAGAAAGGGGAACAAACATAAGTGGCTATGGTGAAGTGTCGGCAAAGTCCTGTCAGTACAGTTGTGTAGGAATAGTGGACGATGTATTTTTTTGTTTGTTAGATTCCTGAATGTAAACTGTTTAAATGTTATTGTGATGTTCTCATTTCCCTGTCCTGGACTGACCGTGCTAATTGGAGAGGCGTGCTGCTGATTGACAGATGGAAGAGATGCTTGTCATTATGCGGGTTTTGGCAGAGCTGTGAAACCACATCTAAGGACAGGTGGCAGGGAGGAGGCAAAGTGGCTGTGCTGAGCAGCTGGCCTCCGAATCTGGAGTGTGTGATCACGCCTCTGTCAGGGGTGCGGGTCCTGTTGGGACAGCTGCACCGGCAGGAGAGCCGGGATAGCCCAGCCCTGGTCCTCAGGACCCAAGGGTCTCCAGGTTTGTTTGAACTGAGGCTTTATTGAAGTGAAGTCTGCTGAAGCTCTTAATTGCTCTTAAAAATTTCACCTTATTGCTGGTTGAGATATGAAACCTGCAACATTCACGAGCTGAGTGATTATATAAAAATGATAAATTAGTTGAGTTTGTGGTTCAATCAAATATTTATTATGAAGCCTCAGGGGCTCCTCAGTGCCAGTATTAGGAAGCCCAGGACTAATAGATTGCTCTTTGACCCCATGCCCCCCTGGGGCTCGTTGTTATGGCACCAGGGTCAGGATTAGGAAGGAACAGAGCTTCACACCTGTGGAATTCTGTGTACTGACTCACAATTGTATCGGTAGTCACTAATACAAGAGAGACCCAACATTTGATATGTCTGGGACTCAAGTGCTTCCACTGCCATTCTATAAATATCAGACTTTGGCGTGGGTGTCTTTGTTAGGCCCTGCATAATTTACAAGCCCAGGCTTCACAGATACAGATGTTTGTTTGTGCTGATTTTTGATTGCTGTTCTTATTTGTTGTTAGGTGCCGGAGGTCTATCTCATTGGCATACAGAAAGCAGAAATCGAATTGTACATTCCTTTGTATTTGTGTGCATGGGAGAGTGCATTGTTGAATGCGATTTCCAGGTTTTTTACATCCTTCATGTCGGGAAGGTACTGGGTAAGTGCCACTGTGCTGCATGAGAGTGAGCAGTGGAGTGTTTATGGTGCCCTCTACTGTGCAGAAAAGGATATTACAGGATATTGCACCAGCCTTGGCTTGCTTTGAAGTAAGGTATGCTTCTGGGGATGGTTTGCAGCTGTGCAAGGAAATGTATATATTTTTAGAAATTAACTTTTAACTGATTTTGGAAAAATCAACATTGCACCTGTTCTGGTGGTGTTGTATGCGAGTTGAAGACAGTATGTAAGTTCAGTGGGTCTCTGCATCCTTTCACCTTAAATTCAAGTGAATGCAGATCACAATATTAGTATATACCTCTGCGCCATCCTGTCTGAACCCTTCTCTGTCTGTGTGTCCAGCCGGTGGCAGAGCCCATCCCCATCTGCAGCTTCTGTCTGGGGACGAAGGAGCAGAACCGGGACAAGAAGCCGGAGGAGCTAATTTCGTGTGCGGATTGTGGGAACAGCGGTGAGTTGGGGGCCAGAGAGCCAAGAGAGCTATGTTTTTGGTATGGATAGACATTTAAAAACCATTGCTTGTGTGAGCTGAAGGGTTTCCATTCGTTCTTTAAAGTACTTCTCTTACATGAAAACAGAGGTGATATTTCAAAACCTGCAGTTATAGAATTCTTTTGTTTTTTATGTTCAGTTTACTGAGATGAAGACTAGAACTCAGCAGAAGACAGTTCTTAGTGTGGTCCTCTCCTGAAAAGAAGAGCATACCACATATTGATGATTTTGCTCTGAATGTGAATGCCCCGCATTAGTCAAATGGGAGATGTAGGAACTCTAGATATTAAAACAGGGGCTTAAAATGTAAAGGAGAGCTCTTGCCCTCAACTGCATCTGATATGCACCCACAAGGTATAGGGCACAAGGTGCTAATGTTTTCTCCTTCCCTGGCAGGTCACCCGTCGTGTCTGAAGTTCTCCCCAGAGCTGACGGTGCGAGTGAAGGCGCTGTGGTGGCAGTGCATCGAGTGCAAGACCTGCAGCTCCTGTCAGGACCAGGGCAAGAATGCGGTAAGTGTGTGAGGGAATTGCATGAAGATCTGTTCACTCTGCTGCTGCCTGTCCTGGGATCTTTTAGCAGCGCTTGCACTTCATATCAACTGTACATGTTCCTGTAATTCACAGGGATTCAGGCCTAACAACCTGTAGGCATTTAGTATATCTGCTACACATTTTGAACTGCTAATACGCGGGTATGATATCGTCTGAGATGGCTCTGGTTTTCGTTGGGGAAATTGTGTAAATCGTGGTTATAGACTGCAGAGCTGCTAGTGTGTACTGTCTGTAATTGTAAAATATTTCTCATGATCTATGAAGCTGCCTGTAGTTACTAGAGAATGTTGCTAATTTTGTTGTTGGTTCATTTTATTAGCAGTTTCCTATTTGGACCAGTTCAGTCTAACTTTTTTTTCTGAAATTTGCTTGTGGCTGTCAACGTTTTGCAAACAGTCCTTGCCCTTCCTTCACCAAATAGGCAGAAATCATCAGCCTTGTGCACTCAAAAAAGAAATGGCCTTTGGCTCAACGTTTCTGATGTATTCGCTCCATTTCATTTGAATTTTAAGAACAAAAGTGGAAGAGAAAAATGTCAAGACTGCGGGGTGGCCTTGACTGACTACTTCAGTCCAAAATGCTTTTGTGCAGTGGATTTTGACATTAGTCATCAGGCAAGATGCACAGTGTCACATTATAAGTATAGTAATATTAACTACTTATTTTTGTAATACTGAGATCATGCCTTTTGGATGTGATAACTGGAGCTTCCAAGGTATATTTCTGGGGAATTCTGTCATTGTGCAAAGCAGGAGACCTAAGGCTTGGATATTTGTTGCAGTGTGAAGAAGCAAAGAATTAAAATCAGGGAATGTTATGTTAAAAATGATACACTGCATTAGTCAGTCCTCATTTAGGATCTTGTGTATAGCTTTGGTCACTAAGTTTAAAAAAGGTATTGCCGTTCTAGAATCAGTCTGGAGTTGTGGAGCCAGATCAATTATGGGCTTAAAAGAGTGTGTGGTAATGACGGGCTGGAGGATCCTTACCTGTCTATCTTGAATAGAAAAATCTATGCGGGGACCTAATCCAAGTAGTCAGAATCCTAAAAGGCATTGACGGAGTCAACGCAGTAGACTTCTTCAGATTTACCAGTGAAAGATGCACCAGAGGACACAACACAAGTGTATTTTAGCCTAGCAGGTGGCACTTTATGTAATGGGTTGTGGGAGGATGGAACAAGCTGTGTTGTCGAAGCTCATGCCCTGGCTTCTTCCGAGAACTGGTTGGGTGGATGAGGTCGTTGGATGAATTAGTAACCAGCAGATAGATTTACAGAATGGCCTCCTCTCATTTGTAACTTGTTGCACAGAGTTTGTTCGCTGTAGGATGTTTTCAGTTCAAAATGTGATTTCAAGCAATATCTTTTTTTTTTTTTTTTAGTTTTTCTTTGTCTCAGTTGTACCAGTTATTTCTATTTCTAAGTCATGTTTTAACCGATGCCATAAGGGCTCACTCAGTCCTGAGCAGCGAAGCATGATGTAAGAACATTCATGGTGTACTGTTAAACTAAGCTAGGTATGTTCATGCAGTTAGGTATTGGAACAAGACTTCTTGAAGTTGCCAAATGTTCCTTAATGGGCAAAGGGATGTTACTGTCCAAAGTGATTTGTGAGGTTATTAATTACTGCAGTGTTCTGAGTGAAAGTGTTTTCCACTCAGGTGCTAAGTGGCGGCGGCATGCTCTCGTATGACCTGCAGTGTCTCTCAGCTGACTTTCATGGGGGAGATGAGGATTGGAAGAAAGAGTGCTTGTAGTCCACCTCTTCCTTCATGAAGCAAAGAGCGGGTCCCGTTAGCTACCAACAATTCTGAATGCTGCAGCATATTTAAGACCATAGAAACAAGGGTATTTAAAGTGCTGGTTAACTGTATTTCGCCATGGCACATTCACGTTTTACTCCCGTAAATTAAATTTCAGATTCCATTTTAATGAAATGGCTTACTTTCTAGGAAACTGTTAAATTTGGTAAATTGTCTGCTAGTTTTTCCTTCTTTGAAAGTGTTTTTATTGGTGGAAATGGAACTGTATAGTTCTCCTTGGAAGGAAATGGTAGTTTTTGATAGTAAATTACAAACAAAAAATATTTCTCTGGGTATTTTCTACATTATGGTCAATTATTAGGTACAATTATTCTGTTAGGAATCATTTTAGCACTTATTTTTACTGAACAATTTTCTTGTGAAAAATGCAACATTTAGTTAAGATTCAGAACATCTCACAGGGGCTCATGCCTCTGGGTCCCCCAGTATTATGTCTGTGTCCTGGGTGGTACTTTTTTCAAGGTTTGGAGTGCTATTTGTAATCACTACAAATCACATTTAAGTGAAGTCTCAGCTGAAGTTCTTAATTACTTTTAAATGAAAATTTTCACCTTTTTTGCAAGTTGGAAAAACCTGCGGTACTTGCAAGTTGAGTGATTAAAAATGATAAATTTCTCAAGTTAGTGACTCAATTAAGGATTTATCTTGGGGCTCAGCTGGAATGAAAAAAATGCTTTAACTTGGTATACAGAATGTGGTAATTGGGTCTTCAGCACTCGCCTATTATCTGTTCAGTTTACTGTTTAAAGATTGATGTGGTCATTGGATTTAATGTTTTGTATTTAGTATTTTGTTTTGGTATTGATTCCATATAAATATTTGATCAAAATTACTATTGGTAGTGTATTATTTAGCTGTATTTGTATTTTGTTATCAGCATCTTTGTCTTTTTGTCTTGTTCTCCGTATTAATACCTGTAGTCTCTGCTGTGCTGAGGATCTCCCTCTCTCTCTGCAGGACAACATGCTCTTCTGTGACTCCTGTGACCGGGGCTTCCATATGGAATGCTGTGACCCCCCTCTGACTCGGATGCCCAAAGGTCAGATCACCCTGCTCTCAAAGCTGGGCACCTCTGGCTCCCCCACATACAGTAGGGTTATTTCTACGCTAATTATTAAGCACTTTATCTGTAAATTGACGATTTGATAAGCATAGCGCTCCCATCTTTAACTATGTCAAATGAACTGAGACTGCAGATGGGTGGTATAGCCAAATTTTTTTTCATGTTAAAATACAGTGGTTCAGTTAAAGCAGAAAACTGTCGTGCAGCTGTTACAGGAGGCGGCTACTGATGCCGTGCAGCAGAACAGTAATGCAGAACGCATGACCGAGTGGCATGTTTTTCATGAATTTGGATCTGTCTTACAGGAATGTGGATCTGTCAGATCTGTCGACCGCGGAAAAAGGGAAGACGACTGTTACATGAAAAAGCAGCACAAATCAAACGGCGCTACAACACACCACTGGGACGGCCCAAAAACAGGTACAGCACACATGCCCGGTGACAGCAGCTCTTAATCCTTTCCCCCATGCCGGGCCTTCCTCGGGTCATTTTCTTTCCTCTGTCCTCCCGTGCAGGTCAAAGCGCCCCTTCAAGAAGCTGAGGGGGCCTCCAGGGCGGGGGGGCCGGCGGCGCAGGGCGGGGCGGCTCTCCCGCGGCTCGTCCTCGCCGCCCTCTTCGCCCGCCTCCTCCTCCGAGGGCTATCCCGGCGACGACCGCCTGCTCTTCGGCTTCTCCGGCGACGGCGACGAGTCGCCGGGGCTGCGCTTCAACAAGAAGACGAAGGGCCTGATCGACGCGCTCACCAAGTTCTTCACGCCCTCCCCCGACGGGCGCAAGGCCCGCACCGAGGTGGTGGACTACTCGCAGCAGTACCGCGCCCGCAAGAAGGGGGGCAGGAAGGGCGAGGCTGCGGACAGGACAGGTAACGCCGCTGTTCCTGCCCAGAGCCCGTCTCCAGCAGAGATTCACCTGTTCTGGGGTTAGAAAGGGAGTACTGAAGTGTGGCGCCTCCTGTTATATAACATACAAGATACTGGCGTAGGAACACTCCAGTGAGAATGAAAAACTGCCTCTGAACTTTACTGTCAAATCTGCTAGATTTTAGTAAATACATGACAGCAGATCATTTGGTCAATGCTGTAACTAGGCTTGGCAGGGTTTTCGTTGTAAAGCATTGCCTTAGAAAGAATTGTTTCAATGTGCAGTCGCTCACTGTTTGTAATATCTGTGCGTGACAGCCACGGTGTCGCCTGAAGTGTCTTATTACTAAACTTGTGGCCCTTGTCAACAAATACTTGGCAGAATGGGACTCTTAGTCTGTTGTTGATCTGCATCTGTATGGGGAGATGTGATTTGACAAGAGCTGCAGTTGCACTGAGAGTGCTTTTCTTGCAAAGCACCGGTCAGAGTCATTACTGCTTTTCACGCTTTACAAACTGCCCCACGTGAAGTGGAGAGGGGAGCTCCGACTCCACCAATGTCATACAGTACTGTTCAGCAGTTTGTTTTACGGTCCTAATTTGCTTTAAACGTTTGTCTAATTTTTTTAATCGTTGTCTGATAATTTTTTCTACCCAGAGCTTTGTAGGTGTACGCTGTGCAGAATTGTAATTACTGCTTGTATGCAGTCATCTCATGAGTGCTTGAATGTCTATTCCTGTAATCGATATGTTCAGCTAGATTGTTGATTATGGTTTTACTTCAGTTTCAATTTTAATGTGCGACCGGGCAGAGGTTGAGGTTGGCTCAACTGCTCAATTTCCTGTTCTCCAACGTCTAACAGAGCCATGGTGAAAACTGAATACATGTTGGCTAACAATTAAATCCATCGTTAATACCAGCTGTAGACTGAGCAAAGCACAAGCTTGATCTACAATTGGGGAAATCTGGGTTTGCTAAAGCAGGGTTCACCGATCAGGCAGTAATTCAGGTTCAGCATGGCCTCAGTTTCTGTTCAACACATTAAAGGCTCTGTATTGTGGGGAGTGTGATGCGCACTTGTACTGCTAACATGCACGGTAACAGGTGGAAGTTTCAGATGATCGGGCATCAACCTTGTCTCTTTGTGATGGGCAGTGCTGTTTCTGCAGAGGTTGCACTCTATATTGCTCATACTTTTTGACTATTTTCAAATTGCACTCTTTAGCCAAACCAGAGAAATATACCTGTCTCCTTGTGATTCATCGTGCTGGTTAATTACTTTGCGGTCATTTTAATTTTTTTAAGAAACTGGCAAGTATTATTGAACATTTAAGCAGTGTTTTTTTTTTTTCAAGTACTTTTATAGTAATTTACACCAACAAAAATCCATGATACATAATGCGCATATTAATATACACATAACGGTATAGAACATGTAAATTGTTGCACTAATGTCTAAGTAGAGTAATTTGTGAAAAGAAAAGGGCCAGATTTCGAAACCAATTTTATTTACAATTAAAATACGTATATCGTCTCCCTCCCTGACTGACTGTCTTTGTGCTTAGCTGCCTGTGTGTCTCTCTGACTCCCTCTTCTGCCCGATCTTCTCCAGACAATCAGGAATCCCGTGAGGAGTGGCGGGAGGGAGAGGAGAGGCCGCCCGGCATGCAGGACAGCGTCTCCGAGAAAGACATGGAGCTCTTCCGACACATCCAGGAGCTCGCTCTGCAGGTAATCCAGAGAGAGAGCGAGCCTGCAGAGGGATGGGGGACAGGAAACCACCTGGCGCGAGACAGAAGTGAAACTCTCACAGAGAAGGAGAGAGAGTGACCTGGGGAAAGGGAAGGATAACTATGCAGTACTGTATTCTGCAAGAGGTGTTCTTAGAGGCAAGGGTGTCTTGGCAAGAGAGGGAACGGGTACCTGCACACGTTTTTCATCAAGCGCTAACGCACTTGCACTGAGCTGGGCGCCTCGACCAGTTGCTGCACTAAAAACCCTGTGCCTCCGGAAGCCGCTGCTCACAGAGAAAGTGAGAGGGAGGGGAATGGGGGGGGCGAGTGAGAGAGGCTTCGTTTAGGAGTGTACCTGTGTGTGCGCTCGTGCATGCATCTGCGCATGTGTCTAGGCACTGGTGTCTGTCAGTCAGTGCAGGAGGCTCCGTGTCCTGATGTGCAAGCAGCTCTACTGGAGCTCAGTGCCGCTGGGCATCCGCCTGGCAGAGCGCTGGGAGTTGGGAGAAGCTGGTGCGCCACCACAGGTAGCCCGCGGTTGGCTCTTCCGTGTGAGCAAGTGCAATTTGTGTTTGTGTGCTTCAGGTCTGTTGGAGGTGAGCTCTGTGCACAGCTCCAGATAGTCGTGGTGGCTGTGCAGCTGAGACTTTTAGACAGCTTTGTGTTGTGACCTCAGAGACTTGTGTTTTTATAAAAAAGTATTTCTTTTTTATGTTGTCTTGGAGAGGCTGCCTGGATTGGTGAGGAAGGCTTAATCTGCTCCGCAGTGAAAGGATTCAGCTGTGCCATTTTCTTAATGAACTAACAATGCAGCTCAGCTTTCCAAAATTCAGTGGACTGAAATATGCATTTCTTTGTTTTATAACTAATTGCCTGTGGTTTTAATTAAAAACAGTTGAGGATGGTTTGCCGTTTTACAAATTGGCCTGTCATGTACAGCAGTTTAAAATGGCTTGTTACTTCAGACTGATTTTTCCAAGCCTGAGTTTATTATGGGGAAGGACAGACACTGCTGGGCAACAGTCTGCAAACTATATATTTTAGAGTGTGTTTTTGTTATAAAGTGACTCAATAAAATTGTGTAGTTTAAGCAGTTAAAGTATTGTATCTTTTTTATTTCTGTTGGACTGCAGTCCAGCATCCAGTGTAGAATAAGGTTCATAACCAGTTTGCTTAATATCATTTTTAGTTCATGATATGAGTTGGAATGTTTTTGGTTAGCTTTTCTGAATTATTTAATCTCAATCAGAATATTAGCCTGGTTAATTTAAGACATGTATATTCATGCATATCTTGTAATGCTTGCAGAAAACACTCATGTGCATGAACACAGAGCAGGTGTGACTTGTACATAAGAGATTTCACATGTCTCCGTGTGTGGGTTTCTATCTGGGTTTCTGAAGTGTGATCAGGCAGACTGCAAGCTGTGGCTTACAGATACTGGAAGTTTCCACTCGAGACAGGCCAGCAGTCTAATAATAATCTACTGAAATGGAGCCAGGAAACCACTGTGAGATGTACTTGTCTTGTGTGGGTAGTGTGTGTGTGCACAAAGGGTGTGTGCACTTCAAGCTGTTTGTTTTTATGTGCATAATGTTGAGGTTCTTTGATGAATAAATTACTGATTAAGAAGTCTGATTTTCTCATTTTACCCTTTTTGCTACTATTCATTTGGTTTCTGTCCTCTGAATGCCTGTGAACGCAGTGTGGTCTCTGATGAATCTGTCTGTTCACTTTGCAGAAAGTGGGGGTAACGGGGCCCCCCGATCCGCAGGTGCGCTGCCCCTCTGTCATTGAGTTTGGGAAGTATGAGATCCAGACCTGGTACTCCTCGCCCTACCCCCAGGAGTATAGCAGGTAACTGCATACTTTCTACATGCACTGTCATCGCTAGTCAGTATGTACACTGAGTGGGGAAAACCAGACTGCAGCCACAGTCTGGGACATGGACAATGTGCAGATTAAGGCCCACAGGGATTTCTTCATGCAGACTACCTGTGTAGCACCTGTGTACTTGCAGGCAAATGAATATTTTTTTAATGTCTTTGGGGAGACTGTGCCCTCTCTAAGAATATCCTCCTCCCCTGCCCCACTTCCCTGAAATGCTTGACAAAACTCCCGACATACAGTGCATTTATCTGTGATCCACCTATGGGCTATACATTGCAAGTAGTGGAACTTTTAAAAGATTTTGTGAAGTGCTAGAAGAGGTATATGCAGCTGTCCCCGATGCACAGACTCCTTATATGATAAAAGGATTCTGGCTGTAGTTCTGATTTTGGTAATGTGCATCCTGTTCTGGGCCTCACTGTGCTTTGCTGTTGCCTTCAGGTTGCCCAAGTTGTACCTCTGTGAATTCTGCCTGCGGTACATGAAGAGCCGCAGTATCCTGTTCCAGCACATGCGCAAGTGTGGCTGGTTCCACCCCCCTGCCAACGAGATCTACAGGAAAGACAACGTGTCCGTCTTTGAGGTCTGGAGGATGGGGAACGGGGCTCAGTCATTTACTTGTGTGTGTTCTTCATTGTGTGCAGGTTTTACTGAATGTGCCTCCAGTTGCCTATCCTGCCAGTAGGGCCTTTATTTTGGCTGTCCACCAATTGGATGTAGAGGTGTTCTCCAGTCTCCTGTTCTCCTTAATAACGACCCTGTAGGCTCTTCTAATACTGTGTGGAGAAATTAAGAGCATTCCAGACCTATTGCTAGAAGTTTCTAGGCTAAAGTCTGTATTTTAGACTTTCCCTCAGTTAGATTTTGAACAGGGAAACTGGGCTGCACAAGGACAGACAAGATCCTTTAACTCTGCTGGCCTCACTGTTTCCAGGTGAGAGCTTCCCACTGTTTCCATTGGGCGCACGAGTACTGAGGCTGTGAGGTGTTTTGCAGGAGATGCTCTGCAAGTGTTCTCCTCAAAAAGGCAGTGGGAGAGCAGTGTTCTTGTCCTTGCTTCTGGGGGTTTCGTAGGCGTATTCAGCTGACTAAGCGAACCGTCAAATCTTTTCACTAATTGTAAATGAAACCCAGAGGCTTTCTCAGATAAGACTGAAGACCGCTGGTGTAGAGAATGCGTAGCAGAAAAAAGGTTTGGTTAGTTTTTTTGCGGTTCCTGCCAGTGTGTGGTACATACTGATTTTGTGTGTCTTGTATGCTCACCATCCTGCGTGCACATGTGATGTTAACTGACAGCCCTGTGTACCTGTGCTCTATCTTAGGTGGATGGCAACGTCAGTACAATCTACTGTCAGAACCTGTGCCTGTTGGCCAAGCTCTTCCTGGACCACAAGACGCTCTATTATGATGTGGAGCCCTTCCTCTTCTATGTCCTGACACAGAACGATGCCAAGGGCTGCCATCTTGTGGGCTACTTCTCCAAGGTGGGACCCTCAAATTCAGACTGATAGACACACCCTGCGCATGTGCCGTTGAAAGAAGGTTTTGATTTGGTCTCTATTGTTTGTTCAGAATTCAAGGTCATGAAACGGAGCTGCTGATGTGCTGGATAGATTGTGTGCACTTTTCTGCTGTCTTTTTTCATCTTTATCCCTGTTCCCTTACTATGGTAGAGCAGTAGAGAGTAGAGGAGTTTATTGTCATATATACATTGGAATTATTCGCGCTGATCTCTCGGGACATAAACTGTACAAAACTGTGACAACACCACACAATGTATACAGTACATCACAAACATAATAATAAGGCTAGGCCCTGTGTTCACCACCTTTTTCACCCATCTCTGTCACCTTTTTCTGCCTCTTTGCTTTTTCTTTACCGTCTTCATCTTTCTCTTTTCCTCCCTGTACAGGAAAAGCACTGTCAGCAGAAGTATAATGTCTCCTGCATCATGATTCTTCCTCAATATCAGCGAAAGGGCTATGGACGTTTCCTCATTGACTTCAGTAAGTGTTGTGCAAAAAGATCGGGACTCCCATGACCACTTTGTGGCTGTTTCTAGGTGCTCTTTTTCTGGTTTTACATCTCTGGCTCCATCTCTCCATCCTTTTCTTCTCTTTCCAGGCTACCTGCTGTCGAAGCGTGAGGGCCAGCCGGGCTCGCCAGAGAAGCCTCTTTCTGACCTGGGCCGGCTATCCTACATGGCATACTGGCGCAGCGTGGTGCTGGAGACCCTGCACCAGCTCCACGACCCCCAGATCACGATCCGCCGGCTCAGCAAGATCACAGGCATCTGCCCTCAGGACATCACCGCGACTCTGCATCATCTCAACATGCTGGAGTACAGGAGGGACAGGTAGGAGTGATATGGCTTATACAATGAGAAGCATACTTTTTCATTACAACACTGCTATTCACTTAGACACTGAGGCACTGATTTGCTATAATACCTAGACGAAACAGTGTTATGCATGCTAATGCTATCATATTAGTATACTTCATTGAAACGCTGATGCAGACATTGATATGCTCTTGTTGAAAATTTTATGGACACTATTTTACCGCTAGGACCAGCCACAAAATGCTGGACTGTTATAGGGAAGTAAAAAAAAAAATGCACGTAGGGATAAGAACATGGACATCCATGAGCATTGTGTTGCATGTTCATTATTATGGAGCAGGTCCACATTATCTTTCAGTAGTTGTTGTAGCTGGTCTGGGTACCAGCCCTTGGCTCCTCTTTGATGCCACCAGTCCATTTGTCCCAAAAACACACTATTACAACAGTGAAACGCGTGCTCTAGTTGCCCGCAATGCCGCCGCCGTGCCTGAACCTGTCTGTGCTCCAGGTTCGTGTTGGTGCGGCGAGAGAAGATGATTGCAGCTCACGTGGCCCGGCTACGCATGAACCCACGCCAGCTGGAGGTGGACCCAGACTGCCTGCGTTGGACACCTGTTATTGTCACCAACACCATGGTCTCCGAGGGTGAGGAGGAGGAGGAAGAGGAGGAGGAAGAGCCCTGCAAGGAGGTGAGTTGTTTATCGTGGGACATTAACTGATAATCAGATTCTTAGTGTTGACGGCTTAGATCGGTGAGAGAGTTTCATACTGCAGTTAGGGCAGTCAGCCTTGACCAGGTTTTTTTAGTTGCATGTTATAAATATGTACAGCGTTGTCAGTGCTGATTCATAGCAGTCAGACAATTTGAGCTGTTTTGTATCTGCATAGATCGGTGTCTTTTTAATTCACAGTGTTTTTACATTCCCTCTAGAACAAGCCCAATCTGACCCCTGCCCCAGTGCACTGGCGACATGGTGACGAAGAGGAGGAGGACCGGAAGTGCTTCCCAGCACTGACAAACAGCCAGCCCTCTCCAGCAGCATCTCCCCTCCATAGTGCCCAGCTCCTTGCCGACACCCCCCTTGCTCCTGCCAACGGGGAGCGGAGGTGTGGGCGCCGGGGCCGCAAGAAGCAGGACTGGCTCTGGGTGAAAGTGAAGGACGGGTCGCGGGGTGAGAGAGGCCGGCCGAGGAAAGTGCGCCGTGAAGAAGAGGAGGATGAGGACGAGGAGGAGGAAGGGGCTGAGGAGGATGAGACCCCTGCACCACCCCTTTCTCCTCCGGCCCTGTTGGCCACTGAGACAGAACTCGAGCTGGACCCCAGCTCCAGGCTGGCAGAGGGCGATCAATTGACCCGGCCCCCTCCTATCATGCCTGCCCCACGCAGGGGACGCCCTGCTCGCAAGAAGAGGGGACCCCGAAAACGAAGGCTCAGTGATGGCTCTGGAGAACCCCAGCCACCTCAAACCCTCAGGCTTGGTGAGGCACCTGCCCCAGCCAGAAGGGGGCACTTTAGCGACAGCAGTGAGGAGGAGGAGGATGATGAAGAGGGCTTGAGGCCTAGGTCACCCCCAGTCCTCACCAAGCCCAGCCTGGGACTTAAGTGCAAGGTAAGAAGGTTCTCTAAACATGGCTTCTCCATGAAAAACTTTTTAAATAACTTTTGTAAATTGCTGTATTTACTCATACTAAAAATGTATTAAAGTTGATGTTCCTTGAAAGCTAAATACAGTTAGAACCAGAATTTTCTACCTAGTATTTGACAAACTCATTTTTTCCCAGAAGACTCTGCGGAAGCGGCGCGTGCGTCAGCGCAGTCACCCGCACAGTAGCGTCGTCACGGAGACCATCTCGGAGACAACGGAGGTCCTGGATGAGCCGTTTGAGGACTCGGATGTGGAGAGGCCCATGCCGCGGCTGGAGCCCACCTTCGAGGCACTGGAGGAGGAGGTGGCGCCCTATTCCCGTGGGCAGCGCCGCTACCTGCCGCCTCGCGCCGCCCTCAGACACTCAACCCCGGCGCCGAAGAGGAAGTGCCACCCCACGGTGCACACGGAATCGGAAGACGAAGGTCGGGCGGTTTTTCAGGCTGTTGATTTTAGGATGATCCATATTCGCCCTCCTACTGTTATCTGTAGTTGAAACCTAAATGTAACTAAAAGTACGGGAAACTGCAGAAATATAATCAAAGGTACACATGCTTGTTTTTGTAGGATCAATCTATTGGACTTGGGATTCGTTTTGGTCCCCAAAACAATATTTGCTTGCAGACGCGCAGTCATTCGTTTTTATGTGGAATTAAAAACTCTTGGCACGTTGGTTCTCCTGATTCCTGAAGACTGTACTGTTGCTTACTAGCTGCAGACCACGGCGGGTTTTGATGCTAGCGATTTTCCAAGAAGTTAAGTACAAATGAAAATGTTATAGGATGATGATGATATTAAACCCAAAATCAATTGCACAGTCGCGAATAACATGGTTTTGGTAACTAATATTCCTGAAATGCTCGTTTTTGTTTTTTTTGAGGAGGTTGGTGTGACAGAAGCACTGAGTAGCTCCATACACTCACATTTCTTGACAAGACAAAGACCGTAAACATATGAAAATATGGGGATTTTTTATTTCACTAATATTTTGTTTAAAACAAAATATTAATTTTTGAAAGAACAAGTAAAGGTTTATTCCATGCTGTAAAGAGAAGAAAAGAAACGTTTTGGCTGTGGAGCCTTCTTCGAGAAGCCTTTGCAGCCTACACATGGTGACGCAGCAAAGTACACCTTTCAATAAAATGGTTTTACATATCAGGGCATAAATAACAATCGTCTGGTCCTCACCAACGTCTATATATTAGACAAATCTAACCTCAGATAACAGATAACACAACAGATTTATTCAACAAAAAGTAAATGCAGAAACCATGTAGGGAAAAATTAAGTACACCCTTACTGCTTTCATAGGAATTAAGGTAGTTAGCAGCCAGGTGCTGTTAATCAAATGCACTTGATTAGTTGATCATCAGGAAGTGTGACCACCTCTATAAAAGCAGAACTTTTGGCAGTTTGGTGGTGTTAACATCATGCCAAGGAGAAAAGACATCAGCAATGAACTCAGAGAAGCAGTTCTTGCTGCTCATCAAATCTGGGAAGGGTTATAAGGCCATTTCCAAACAATTTGAAATCCATCCTTCTACAGTGAGAAGGATTATTTACAAATGGAGAACATTGAAGACAGTTGCCAATCTTCCCAGGAGTGGGCGTCCCAGAAAATTCACCCCAAGGTCAGACCGCATAATGCTCATAGAGATTGCAAAGAACCAAAGAGCTACATCTAGGGATCTACAGGCCTCAGGTAACATGTTAAATGTTAAAGTTCATGACAGTACAATCAGAAAAAGACTGAACAAGTATGGCTTTCATGGAAGGGTAGCCAGGAGAAAACCCCTTCTCTCCAAGAAGAACATGGCAGCACGACTTAGGTTTGCAAAGTTGCATCTGAACAAACCAAAATATATTTGGACAGACAAGACCAAAGTGGAGATTTTTGGTCATTGGCAAAAACCAAACAGAGCGTATCACCACAAACACCTCATACCAACCGTCAAGCACGGTGTTGGAGGGGTGATGGATACAGCTTGGGCACCTTGAGTCATCGAGTTGACCATGAACTCCTCTTTATACCAAAGTATTCTAGAGACAGATGTCAGGTCATCTGTGCGACAGCTAAAGCTTGGCCGAAAGTGGGTCATGCAACGGGACAATGATCCCAAGCACACCAGCAAATCTACTGAATGGCTGAAAAAGAAAAGAATCAAGGTGTTGAATAGCCAAGTCAAAGTCCAGACTCCAACCCCATTGAGATGCCTTGGCGGGACCTTAAGAGAGCTGTGCATAAACAAATGCCCTCAAACATCAATGAACTGAAGCAATGTTGTAAAGGGGAGTGGGCCAAAATTCCTCCAAAACGATGTGAGAGACTGATACACTCATACAGGAAACGATTACTTCAAGTTTTTGCTGTTAAAGGTGGTTCTACAAGCTACTGAATCATGGGGTACTACCAAATTTTTAACGCATGGCTTCTGCATATTGGCTTATTTTTTGTTAAATGATGACAGAGTGGAATTTGTTATGTGTTTGTCACCTGGGGTCAGATTTACCTAATATTAGGACCTGGTAAGGACTGGATGATTTTTTGTTATATCCTGATATAACAAACCATAGAATTGAAAGAGGGTGTACTTTCTTTTTCACACGACTGTATCTACTTGAACTAGTATTAATGTTTGATATTGCTACCCTACAGACATGTGGCTGATGAGGGGTGTGTTTTAGGTGTCTTTGCTGTTTTCCTCCCTTCTTTTGTCAGTGAATTAATCTCGCCTTTGACTTTGTGTTGGTCCAGATTCCACTCCGGTCCTGAAGCCTGCGGTTGCACTGCACGCTCAGGACCCAGGGGCGGGACCGCCGGTGCTAGGAGAGGAGGACATGATGGAGGCAGAGCCGGTGAAGAAGAAGAAGAAGGGCTGGCCGAAGGGGAAGAGCCGCAAGCCGCTGCACTGGAAGAAACGGCCGGGGAGGAAGCCGGGTAGCACTGTCAGCCGCGAAAACTCAGGCACGGCACTGGCTCTGGAGACAAGCAAGGGAGAAGACGACGAGGAGGAGGACGAGGATGAGGACGAGGAAGAGGGACTGGGAGAAGAGAGGGAGAAGAATGATCTTGCGGGGAACCCGTCCTCCCCTCTGACCGAAGAACAGCCACCCCCGAAGCTCAAGCTCAAACCGGGACGGAAACCGCGGAGCTACTACCTGCAGCGGGCTCAGGAGGAGGCAGCGCGGCAGGAGCAGGAGAGGAAGAGGCTGGTGCAGCAGCAGCTCCTGGAGAAGCAGAAGCTGGAGGAGCGAGCCGGCAGGAAGAGCACCAGGGCGGGCGGAAACAGCAGCAGCAGCGCCGTGGCGGCGGAGAAAGAGAAACGGAAACACTCGGAAGACGAGGGAGAGGAGGAGGAAGAGGAGGAAGAGGATTACGATGATGAGCACAAAGAAAAGCCAAAGCGGCAGGGACGGCCAGCGTTGGGGACCCTGCTGGGGGTACCCCACAAACATACTGCAACGGAGGAGGAGGAGGAGGAGGAGGACGACGACGATGACGATGATGACGAAGATGAGGCTTGGGAAGAGAATCACTCTTCCTCTCATGCCATCCCACCTCCCTCTTCACATGCCCGAGCTCCACAAGGCAGGGCAGATGGAGAGCGAGAGGAGGAAGAGCGGGGGAGCAATAAAAAGGCTGCGGTGACTACAGCCAGCACAGCGGGGCCGACAAAGAGCATCGGGCGGAGGAGTGAAGACCACGATGCCGACGACGAGGGCGATGGACACCTCGAGGGGAAATGCGAGAAGAACAAAAACGAAAAGAGGAAGAGTCAAGATTCTGAAGAGGAGGACGAGGAGGAGGAGGATGAGGAAGACGAGGAGGAAGAGGAGCCAGCTTCTCCTGTTCGGACACCCCCGGTCAAGGAGGAGCCACAAACTTTTTTAGATACGGTGGGGAGCGCAGTGAGAGAGGGCGCTGACAAGCAGCAAGAGGAGGAGGAGGAGGAGGAAGAGGAGGAGGAGGAAGAGGAACTAGAGGAGGTGAAGAGCCGACCTGACGCCCAGGAGGAGCGCCGCCGCAGGGAACAGGAGGAGTCCGCAGCAGCGGCTGCGGCCGTGGAAGCCGTCACCGCCATTCCTGTGCCTGAGGAGCCCATCGACTTGCAGCCCTTGCATGAGGAGCCCAAGCCGGTGCTGCTGATCGAGTCTGAGCACCAGCACCCGCAGTCGCACTCGCACACGGACTTCAAGGAGGAGCTGAGCCACCATCACGTGCACCACCCGCATTCCCACAGCCATGCGCCAGCCCACCCCCACCCCCACCATGCCAGTGAGCTTGATCTGGAGACCGTGCAGGCCGTGCAGTCGCTCACGCAGGGCGAGGCCCAGGACTGTGAAGAGCCAGAACCGCCGGGGGCTTACCAGGACTGCGAGGAGACGCTGGCAGCCTGCCGCACGCTGCAGAGCTACAATCACCGCCAGGAAGGCGAGGACGAGGCTGCTGCGCTCGCGCTGGTGGAGGACTGCGGCCCCGCCTCCCAGCACAGCAGCCCGCTGTCTGGCCATGCTCATCACGCTGCGCCCTCGCTCCCGGGGCAGTCGGTGCGCTCCGTCAGCAGCCCTGGCCTGCCCCCTGGGACGCTTGAGGCTGGAGCGGGAGGAGGGCCAGTGACTGGAGCAGGAGGACCAGGAGGAGGAGGGGGATACACCCAGATCACTCCAGAGCACCCCGGCTCCCTCTCGGCACCTTCCCTGCAAAACATGGAGACCAGCCCCATGATGGATGTGCCCTCGGTGTCTGATCACTCTCAGCAGGTGGTGGACAGTGGCTTCAGCGACCTTGGCAGTATAGAGAGCACCACAGAGAACTATGACAATCCCAGTAGCTATGATTCCACAATGGGAGGTGGAGGTGGGGGGGGAGGGGGAGGAGGAGGGAACGGAAACAGCATAGCAGCAGTGGCTGTTGTTGCAGCGACCGCCTCTTCTACTACGTCTTCTGCAGCGGTTTCCTCTGCGTCTTCTTCCTCTGGCTCCGCGGGCTCTGCTCCACCTTCGTCGTCTTCTTCCTCACAGGCCAATAGCTGTCCCTTCAGTGGGGGGGCTCCCGCTGGCTTGGTGTCTTCCAGTAGTAGTGGGGGCAGTGTAGTCAATTCCCAGATTGGGGCACTGGGCAGCAGCTGCAGTCTGATCCAGCAAGGAGGGGGAGGTGGAGCAGGAGGAGGGGGCAACAGTGGAGGCAGCGGTGGCAGTAATGTTCCCCAGCCACCCCCGCCTCCGCCACCCCCCTCAGCCTCCACACCTGGCTGTGGTATCAAGTCTCCGCAGAGTTGCGTCATTGAGAGGCCGCCTAGCAGCAACCAGCAGCCACAGAAGAAAGTGGCGCCCCAGCAGGCCACACCACCCCAGCCAACTGCACCCCCGCCTCCACCACCCCCCCAGCAACAGCAGCCGCAACAGCAGCAACAGGCACTGTCCCAGTGCAGCATGGGGAACACCTTTGCCTCCACGCCGATGATAATGGAGATCCCGGAGTCTGGGGGGGGAGGCTCTGGCAGTGGGGGAGGCCGCAGCCTGTATGACCGCATGGGCCAGGACTTCGGAGCGGGCAGCTACCCCCAGCCCTCTGCCACCTTCAGCCTGGCCAAGCTGCAGCAGCTCACGAACACCATCATGGACCCGCATGCTGGCATGCCCTACTCGCACTCTGCAGCTGTCACCTCTTATGCCACCAGTGTCTCGCTCTCCAACGCACCTCCTGGCCTGGCACAGCTTGCACCCTCGCCACACCCACCTCTTTCCCAGACGCAGCCCACCATGACACCTCCCCCCAACCTGGGCTCCAGCTCAATGAACCTGGGCTCTCCACTCCTGCAGTGCAACATGCCGGGCACCAATATAGGCATCCCGCCACCCCCACACACGCAGCGTCTGCAGGGCCAGATGGCCACTGTAAAGACCCACCTTTCCATCCGGTCCAAGTCGGCCCCTCTGCCCTCGGGCTCGCCTCACCAGCAGCAGCTGTACAGCCGGAGCTCTGGCGCCGTCACCATGCAGGGCACGCCCCGGGCTCTGGCTGTGCAGCGCGGCATGATGCCCAACCTCATGCCCACTCCGACTGCCTACAACTCCATGAACATGAACCCGCTGAATGCCATGCCCACCGGCTACCGCATGCCACAGCCTATGATGAACAGCGGTTACCACGGCAACCCACCTTACATGAATCAGCCTGCCCAGTACCCCATGCAGATGCAGATGGGCATGATGGGGGGGCAGGCCTACCCCCAGCAGCCTATGCAGCCAAATCACCATGGCAACATGATGTACACTGGCCCCTCCCACCACACCTACATGAACGCAGGCGTGCCCAAACAGTCGCCTTACATGAGCAGATGAGCGTGTGAGCAGGAACGGGTATCAGTGTGGGTCTCTGTTATCCTTCCAAGACCTGAGGAAGAGGAGGGCAAGGGACTTTTTTGTTTTGTTCTATTTTTATTTTTCTTCTTCCCACCTCCTGTTTTCCAGGGAGTGTCTAATGTTACTGAACTGACAGGACAAAAACAGACTTGCAGACTATGTGGACCTCTGGCTGCAGCTCTCTGCTGGACTGCACTCTTTCTGCTGGGGGGCCCGAGTCTCTTCTCCCCCTGCGTCTCCACTGCGGGTGAATATATGTTCATCTGAGTGGGGAGGGGCGCAGGGGCGCAGCTGAGATCAACTGAAGAAAATAGAAAAAAAGTGTTTTTGTAAAAGATGTAAAGCAGTGCACACAATCTTCTGAAATTAAAATAGGAGCCTTACCTAAAGATAATTTCAAAAAAGGAAAAGATGTAGAAATGGAATTTCTTCTTTTTATACATTATGAATTTTTGTTTATAACAGTTAATGCTTGTGTGCAGTCCATCTTTTTTATGTTTTTATTTTTTTGTTGTTTGTATTGTTGGAAAGGTCTTTTAATTCCAGTCAGAGATACAGATCCTTTTGTCTTTTATGCAGCACACTATCAGACACACACACCCTTATTGCCACTTCTTTCACCGGGTTGGTGGCACCTTCCTAGGCTAATGGAGGAGTGTGCGGTCTCCTGGCGCCCTGGTCTTCCCTGGGTAGGAGGCTGCACTGTCCCGGGCTCTGTTCAGTGGACTGAAAGCCATTACTGACGCGCGTTACTCAGCTTCTAAGAACAATGAAAAGAGAAAGTCCACTCTCGGCAAGCCCTGGGCTTTATTAGGATGTGATGGCAACTCAAAAGACAAACAGGAGTTGCAAGAATTTTTAAAAAACGTGTCCATGTAGTTTGTGATGTTCTGCGTGTTTAGATGTGCAGGCATCCCAGGGTTTTTTTTTTATTCGCACTGCGCATAAAGGAGCAGGGCTGCCAGCTGATTGGTGGGGGTAGTGAGCCGTGAGCAGATAGTGCAGGACCTGCACGTGTGAGCCCATCACTTGGGCACACCTTGTGTTCACTTTAACCCTGACCGTCACCAGAGCTCTCTTGATGTGCTGCCCTGTCATCTCCCCACGGTACTGGTACGCAGAGAAAGAGTACGCGAGTGCTCGTGGGGACTGCCAGGTGGAGAGGTCATTCCAGTGTGGGAACGTCAGGAGTCAGTCTTTCGTCTCTGAAAAGCTGAATTAAAGGGGACACTCACTCCCATTGTCTGTGGTCGCGGGTCAGCAGATCTAGAAGTTTTCATTCGAGTGACAGCAACACTTTTCCAGAAATTAAATGTCCCAGTATTCTGACTCTGACCGGGAGTGGAGGAGACTCTACAGTGATGAGTTTTACTTGTTACTATTTTTTTTTCCTCTGAATTTTATCAGATCGGGCAGCTTCCTTTTATGACACAAGCTGACTCTTTTTTCGACTTTAGAAAAACTTATTGTAGAGAAAATGTTTTTTCTATAATATAAAAAAGGAAAAAAAATCCTGCATATTAATATTGGTACTGTCATTTTTTCACTTCTGTTTAAAAAAAAAGGTATTTTTTAGCTGGAATCTTGGGTAATCTTATTAAGAAATTCAAAACTGAAAAAAAAATACAACTCACGTTTAGTGACTTAAGATGCCTTTAACCTTTCCATTCCATCTCATCTTTAGACTTTTCTACCTTTGTTGTAGTATATTAAAGCTATTTTAAGACAAAAGAAAATCTCTAAATTCTCTAGCGTTCTTTTGTTTTTTGTGTATAGGACGACTCCTTGCGTCTCTGAAGCAGCATGTAAAAATGAGCTCAGTATATTCCTGTCTGTTTATATCGCTTCTCTTCCCCTTTTGTATCCTTTGTAATTGTACATGGTGAGTTGTAAGCTAAGAGAGAGAGAAGGGGGAAGATGGAGTGCTCATGGAGGCCGCGTGTGGCACAGGCCCCAGGACACTCTTTGTCTCCTTCCCCTGTTCCTGTATGTATTTTCACTTATGTTTTTCTTTCTTAGCAAGTACTTTCAAAAGAACTCTGTACATTTTAACATAAAATAAATTATGTTGAGCCATTTCAGTCTGAATCGCAGTGATTTTAAATCATGGCAGAAGTCATAAAGGTTTGTACTGGTCCGAGATGGTGCTGGACTGATACCCGCAAAGTTAAGAAGAGGTGATCTGCAGAAACTTTGAGTGACGGGGAAGTGCAAGGAGAAGTGAGAGCTGGTTTTGCTACTTAAAATGTTTTGCCACACCTCTACAGTCTGCCTGTCTTCATACCTGAATTACTCCTGCATCCTGTTTGGTTTCTAGAAGCAAACTGGATGCGTTTCCTTAGGAGTAAATGCAGTTTCAGAACATTTTAATTTCAGTTTTAGTTCTTCTCTTGTTCACGTTGGCTGGGCAAGAGTTGAAAGTTTGCGTTCTACCACTCTTACGTTCTCCTGAGCTTCTGCATGAAGTGAAAGCCTTCAAATGCTAAATATATTGAGCTGTACATTTGAGCTGTTGGGTAGATTAAGGTCTAGTCCTAGTAGCTTGTGCTTGTTGCATGGAAATAAACCCATTATGTATTAAGAGCAATAGTTTCAGGAACTTAAAGTGCTGCAGCGTCTGTGTGCAAAGACCAACCAACATCTCAAGCACTTGGTAAGTAGGTAACTTGGTAGAAAACCAGGAGAAGCTGATGAATTTAAATTAAAGCCACTGTTAAGAACTGCGTTGGAATGAAAATACCAGCCCTGACAATGGTCCAGGACTGGAACTGGACCTGTCTGAAATAACTCCAAAATTGAATTAGAATCTCAAGAGAATTACAAAGGTAGTAGGTGAACTAAGTCTGAGGATACCAGCATGAAAGGGCTTTGCCATTGTTGTCTGAAGGACTCCTCTATACTGGTCCAGCTGAACTCATAGGTAATTGAAATAATGAAATAGTCATTTCTCAGGTTCAGGCAGCATATGACTTTAGTTAAGTAACTGATAACTCAGATGGAATGAAGACTAGAAGTGATGCGAGTGCTCTCTCGGCACTAGATATGGGAGCTATTGTCTTAGACCCTTAGGTTCAAAAGAAAGTTTCTCAAAAGAAATCACCCTTCAATCGCCAATATTTAAATTTTTCAATTGCTGGCAGCTGTATCACCCTGCAACTGGGAACCCACTGGAGCTCAGCAGGTGTGAGACTGGCCAGTACCTGGATGGGAGACCTCCTGGGAAAGCTGAGGTGGCTGCTAGAAGAGGTGTACCCTGGTGTCCTGGCCAAATTTCCCCTGGCTTTACTGGTCACAGCCTCCTTACAGTCCCCATTTATGAATTAGCTTCATCACTGTCTCCTCCCCACTGATACCTGGTGGCTGCCGTTGCATCATCCATGTGGGTGCTGTACAATGGTGGTGGTGGAGGGAATCCCCATTACCTGTAAAGCATTTGGGCATGGCCGGAAAAGTGCTATATAAACGTATGGAATTATTATAAGATATTGAACAATTTCATTGTGATCAGTTAAATGGGTGATTTGTTAAATGAAGTAATTTAGAAATCATTTGGAATAAGTTTAAGGATTCTGCAGGCCTCAAGGACCCAAATTCTTTTAATTTAGCAGACTATACTGTATGCTTAACTCCTCAGCAGCCGACAGACTTTGCCCTTTTTTAAAAGCAGGAGCAGGGTCGGAGAGCTCTCTTCTGTAGAGGTCAAAGTCCCAGCAAAAATAGGAGACCGCTTGGTCCATCATGCTAATTCTGTAGTTTAATGGCAGAGTAAATCCAAAATTGAATCCATTTTTACTGTGTAAAGAAGTGTTACTTCTCCATCAGAATAGGTGTCCAGTAAGCAGATGTTATCCTGTCATTGCTTCACTGCGTGGGAAACCAGGGTAGGGCAGGGGCCTGTCTGGATCTCTTATGGTTTTATATTCTGGGATCAAATCTCTCCCGTCTTCCATCTTCCTGGCTGAAGACATTTTTCTCATTTTAACTGTACCAGCACTGATTTTTTTTGTTGCATGTGCACCAAACCTGAATAGTATCAGTTTTGTAAGCACTGCTACAGCTGTCACTGTTTCTTGAACGCTGCAAGTAGCAGGAGACAAGTCTACAGCAGGGCTGTCCAAGTCCACACAGGACTTGTGTCCCAGTCGTGCTCTTAAACTGCTGCATTTGAACACTTGCAAGTTATATTTCTATTCTTACAGTGCACTTAAGTTACTATAAACTAGTTTAACCTCCAACACATTTAAGACCAGAGAAGAGATGAAACTAAAAATGAACATATTGATTTGGGTTTTTTTTATTAATACCAAAAGCCAAACAGCATTTTTTGTTTTTACCAAATAGAACATGAGCTGAATTGTGTGTTCAGTTTAAAATTTCAAAAATAAAATTCCCCAAATGAAAACAAGCTGTCGAACTTTACACAAATTTTGGGGGTTTTAAAAGGCACAGTCAAAAGCCTTTTCTTGTTCTTTTTTCAGTTTATATAGATTTTCACCCCAGGAACACTGCATCAAGGTTCCCTGGTTAACCTGTTCCTTAGTGTTTGGTTTTAAAAAAACAAAAGCAGACTGATTCTTAAACAACGCATGTCGAGGACTTGGTAAGCTGGTAATAATATCCTCAGAAGGGTTCTGAGCGCACTGCACTGAGTTTTGCTGCTTTGAAGCAGTTTAACAGCTGCCCCCTTGAGGACAGGAGGAAAGCTACAGTCTTAATGTAGCTCTGACAGCTTGGCTCTCCACCACCCCACTGTGGCCATAACTGATGGGTGGACACCTTAAAAACTGAGAAACCGAAGAGAAAGAAACACAAAGCCCAACCAGAGATGAAGACACTCGTACTCAGACACAGGGACGGGCAAGACACGCGATCAGACGAGAAGCTCTGAGATTCTGCTTTAGCTCCTTCACCGACGAGCGACTGGGCATCCCTGACTTGGCACAGAGGGCTATGTGCACGGGCAGCGTGCTCTCTATGGTGTTTCTGTCTCCGCAGCAGGCTGCCGCCCGTGCACTTTGCGGCTTCTGCGGCGCAGCGAGTAGCAGTGGCCGGCGTCGGGCGAGGAGCGGGGCACCCAGCTCAGGCCGGCGGCGTCCGAGTTGCGGCGGTTTCGCATGCTGCGGCGGACGTGCTCCCTGGGCAGGGGCTTCAGCACCTCCTCGATCGAGATCTCCTGCTGCCAGGGCGCCAGGGCAGGAAGGGGCCAGCCGAGCTCCACGGCCGCAGGCGCCAGGCAGTCTCCCCCCGCCCGCTCTGCGGGGGTCCCCGCTTCCTGGGGCTGCTCTCCCCCTTCGCCTGCCTCCTCTCTGGCCGGGAGGGGCAGGCGCACACTCCTGCGGCCCCGGGACCTGCCCTCCGGGTGCTCTGCAGCCTCGCCGTGCGTGGCACCGTCCGTCTCGGGCGCTGGCAGGGCCTGGCCCTGTGGTGCGGGGGTACCAGTGGCATCCCTGGCCATGTCATCGCCGTGTCTCCTGGCATGCTGGGCTTGGGGTGCCGAGTGAGCTGGCAGGCTGGAGCCAGTCCTCTCAGGAGGGGTGCTAGGCTCCACCTCTCTGTCTGAACTGACAGCTGCCTCAGTGTGTCCAATCTCCGAGCTGCTCTCTGCCTGAGCCCCTAGACTCCTGCTACCAGGGCAGCCTTTTCTGCCGCCCTTCGGCCTCCTGCCTCTCCTCGGCTTCCGCTCCGGCTGCGCATCCTCCGGGCACGCAGCACCGGGCAGCTCCCACGCCGGCTCGTCCGCTGTTCTGGACTGAGCAGCTGGGTTAAGCTCTGCTGCATGCTGGGTAGCGGCTGTGTGCAACAGCAACCCTGCTCCAGCTGCGTCCTCCTCTCCAGCAGGAACGGGCGCGGGCTCTTCCGGAAGCACAGCTGCAGCATCTGTGATGGCAGGAGGACCTGCAGGACCCTTGCCGTCTGCCTCCTCTGCGCGCTCCAAACTGCACTCGGGTGGCTCAGGGTCTGCAGCCTCAGCAGACATCAAGGGCAAATGGCCGCCGTCAGCAGATTCCTTTCCGTCGTGCCCTGCTGCTGCAGCACTGCCCACAGAGTCTGTGCTGGCCGTGTCCCCAAGGGGAATCTCAGGTGTCTCCCAGGTGCCTTCCCCTGCTGTAAACAAGTACAAATCATCAGTTCTCGCCTAATTTAATGTTGAACTTGCCATGATTATTTTCACTGTAGGCAGGGTTCTGTTCCTCAAATGTCTAGCCCTGCTCTTAGAAATCTCCAATTCATATTTTAAAAGCATCTTCAAGCACCGGCTAAGACTATGTTGATCATAAATAGATCTGATCTTGTGGCATTCCACGACTCAGAGAATGCTGTGGACTCTTTATCCTAAATCCTGCCTCCAGTACAGGGCTCGAAGTCCCACTGACAGCTCAGGGACTGCAGCTCGGGAGTATTACGTGACGCAGTCAGTCTGAGTTATTCTGGCGCTCTGGTCTCTCTCACCTGAGTATGGCAGTGCCAGCTCCTCGTGGCTATTTACGGAAACACAGCTGCCACTAGAAAGCCTCTCGGTGATGGGGCTCAATGAGGGATTCTTGGAGGCGTAGTCTCTCTCCCCGTACAGCGAGCGATCCACCGGCTTGCAGCCCCAGCGCCGTTTTGCAGACTCCTGGAGACAACGCGCGCACACTCGGGTCAGTGCTGCATGGCCTCGCGCACAAGGGGCCCTGCCGGGTGGGCACACCGGGCTGCACCGCACACACTCACCTTCATCTTCCCAGAGGCGCTCTTGGCTGCTGAGCGGCTGGTGCTAGCCCTCCTGGGCTGTGTGTGCTCCACCGCGGCTGGCTTCTGTGAAGAGAGATGGAGACATTCTAGAGGCCCAGATTTCACAGTCGCACTATTCCTACAATCTGTTTGGACACAGCATGTTAACTACATGTTCACAAGAACACTTCAAATACTACTGTATCAGTACTCCGAGACTACTAGCAAATTGGCGTATTTAAGTGATTCTCTGGCACCATCACCAAGCTAGGAGTTCATCCTTGCTGTGCAAGAATATTAACCCATGTTAGAGCAGGTGCCCAATTTATTCACATCCTCGATGCAATATAACAAAACCAACTTATCAGTTCTGGATATTGCAAAATCACATTTGTCCAAAATACTGCAGCTTTCAGTGGGACTGCAGTGTTGAGTATTGGAACAGCAGCAGTACCTTCCTCTTCCTGCCGCGGGACTGCACTGGAACCCCTGTGCTGGTGGGCTGCTCTGCAGGTGGGGGTGGCTCTGTGCCTGGGGGCGATATTTAACAGCAGCTGCCGTGACATGAGCAAAACAGAGGACCGGGTGGTGGTGGAGCAGCAGTGAGAGGAGCAAAGGAGATGAACAGAGACGAGGGATGGAGAGAAAGAAAGAAACATGGAGGAACCGAGCTAGAGAGGTAATTACAAAGACTGTCAGATCACACCTGTCTCTGCCTGGCTATCTTCCACTGCAACACCATCCAGGGCAGGAGGCTGGGGCTCATCACAGACAGTCTCATCCTGGAACGTCACACCCGTCTCTGGCTGGCTATCTTGCAAAGCAGGGAGTGGGCCAGCAGCCTGTGGCTCGTCACAGACAGGCTCATCCAGGAACACAAGAGGGGCTATGCCTGGCAAGCAGAAAAAAAGAAGGGGCTGTCGATAACCGCAGCTGACAAAATAAGAGATTGGCTGGTAACAACTAAAAACAGTGAGGCCAGCCGAGAGACTGCCGAGAGCACACTGACAAAGGCTCTTTACCCAAGTCCTCCGTCTCTGAGCTGGGTTCGCAGACAGGGGTTGTGCTCACCTGCAGAGGAAGAACAGAACTAAGCATCAGTCCAAGGCATTGCAGCACTTCCCTACAACACTGACAACCTGAGCAATTCACAACAATTCATACTCATTTGAGAGGTCAGTGCAAAGACAAAGTCATTTTATTACAGCAGTGGAATACAGTACAATGTAAATAGTAATAGCACCCTACACAAGAATTCTGCTTTACTACAGTCCCCACTGTAACAGCACTGTCCTACTGCACTTTTACTACAGTCCC